ATCGGAATTCATGCTCCTTTACACCGATCTTAGTTCCCTCATCGCAGTTCTATTTTACACTTCCACTATGAATAATCAGAACAGATTAGCATAAACCCAGAAGAGTAAACTAATGCATGTTTTTAAAAATGCTTTCTTTAAGGATGATTTTTATGCTTTTTTTACTGTGTTTAATCTTCTGGGTTTATGCTGGTTTACCCAGCAAGGAGATGGCTTTAGATGATTATGTGGAATCTAAAATCCCAATGAATCTCATGAAATTGGGGTTAATTTTGTATCACGGGCCAAACACTTGATGAAGTATCATTTTGAAAGTTTTAGCTATTTTTTAATATTTGATAATGTTATAATATTAGTTTGATAACAAAATAGTAATTATAAATTTGATAACAAAGTTGTAGCATTAATATTGCAATAATTTTTTTGTTATTAAACAAAATATAATAACAATATTATGAATAATTAAATATTTTAATTGATTTTTTTACTTGAGGATATAAAGTGCTACGAACATATAATCCTCATTATATAAAACATAATTTTTTAAATAATAATGATAAAATTGTAAACTATATGAAGTTTTTTTAAAGTAATTATCCTTTATATTTTTAAGAGTATATGACTTGGAAAGTGATTTTTAAGATAGGCAATGACTGGTTTTTCACAAACATGATTTAATGTTATAAATTTTTTTTTTAAATTTATTGTTTTTTAATAAAAAAGTAGTGATTTTTTTTTTTGTAATTATCCTTTGTATTTTTAGCATCAAAATAAAAATAAAAAAAAAAAAAAAAAGAGAAAGTAAGAGCAACTCCCAGTCAATGGAGAGCGAAAAAATATATAGATATTTTGACTTTTCTTTACTCTTTTTTTCATGTTTTAATAGGAAAGCTAAATAAAATATTAATTTAGTATTTTTCTTACAAAAATGTTATTTCTACCTATCTTATAAAAATATCAAAATATTATTCATTTTAAAAGTTTTTTTATTAGTTTTTTTTCCTTTAATTATTTTTAAAGTCTATATTTTTTCAGTTTTTTTTCTACGAGTCCTCTAAATAGCATCTCTGAAGATGCTCTAATTACAAGGATGAAGGATGAGTATTTCAAGAATATATTCCATGGAGGACCCCAAGCATCTTTACCTTGAGTATCAAATGTTGCTTCATAAAAATACACGTGGAAAATAAAATTAAGGAAAGAAAATATGCTCCAATAGGATTTGAATATCCAAAAGAAGATAATCTTGCTATAAAATATATTCGAATGATGCGATTGAAAAAGGAAAACAAAAGCTGGCAAAGCATCCCATCCAAGTTAAGAGAAAAGTTTGAAAAGAAAATTAGCAAAAACATAAGAGAAAAGGAAAGTTATAACATGAAGAAAAAAAAAGAGAAGAAAATCAGGAATTAATAAGTCAAACACCAAAAAAGTCAAGAAAATAGAAGGGCCTCCGCTTTGGATTTTTTTTTTATAAAAAATAGTATAATTTGCTAAAAGTTTGGGGACAATAACATGGATTGAGAAAATATTTGAAAAATAACTAAACACAATCCTGTTTTAATATCTTTTTTATTGCTATTTATAATAGTGGCTACATCTCAAAATATATTTTTCTACATGACCACTATTTGAAATTAAGGTTGTTTAGTGAATATTTCAAAACATCTTTTTTTTGCAAATTAATTAACCACAACAAAGATTAACCAAAATTTTTATAAAGATGTAATTGCTAAAAAATAAGATTTAAGATCTATTGGTTAAAAAAGAAATAGGAAATAAGATGACGTGGTAGGAGAGAAAAATAAGAAAAGAAAAAGCAAAGAAAGAAAAAATATATCACTCAAAATATATCAAGATTTTATTTTTTTTATACTCAGTACTGTTACAAATATCACAAATATCTTGACAAAACGATTCTAACTATGCCTAAAAAGAATATCAAATAAGATCATAATTAATTTTACATTAATTCTAAATAAAATCACTAATAAATTATAATCACGTTTAGTAGTATTTCAAGGTATTGTTAAAATTATATTATTGAGATCTTTCTAATAATACTGAATGTGTCAAAAATAAAGCTTTGGTATGTTCTAATGACCTATTTTGAATCTTCATAAATTTTGAGTTGTTTTTTTATACATGTTAGTTTTATAAAGAGGGATATGGTTTTTGAAAAAACTATTATTCTTAATAATAGTTGTGTTCAACTGCTATTTCCAATAACTGTCATGTTCAATCACTATTTTCAACATCAGTTATGTTTTAACTATGTTATTTTACTAATACTTTTCCAACATGTGTTACTTTTTCAACAATCTTATGAAATTAAGTTAGACTTCTAATACACCCCTGGGCTCTCCCGTTTCCCTTTTGAAAATCAATAAATATTAGTTATTTAACTCACAATCTATTATGAATCGGATATTTTTTTTTTATAAAAAATTAAACATGTTGGATTTTTCAAAATGTTTTTTTATATATATAAAATATCAAGTATGCATAAAAAAAAGTTAATACATACATCTAATTAAATAAATTAAGAACTCATTGTATTAATAAATAAAGAAAAAGTTATTAGTGATAACTAAATACATATCTGGAAAAGTCAAGAGGCAAATATAGATCAAAATATTTAATCTTGTAACATGGTATATTTACCAAATTATATTCAATTACTTTGTTTATTAAATTAATTTTTTTATGTAATCAAATGATAATAGAAATAAACATACATATAGAATTGATTAAATAAAATCAAAGGAAAACAAAATATCACAAGGTTGCACTCATTAGAAATACCATTCAAAAATAAATATTTTTTATCTTTAAAAATAAATTTCAATTATATAAAATATATATAAAAAATCATAGATGAATTAAAATAATTGCTTCAAAAATTAAATACAAACAAAATAATAAAAAATCACTATTTTAAAAAATAAATACAAAAAATAAAAAAATTTGAGAGAAGGGGGTATTAATTTAAAAATAAATTAAAAAACTATTTTAAAAAAATTATAAAAGCATGTTTTTCTTAGAAAAGAAAGGTAAAAAAAAAGAGAAAAAGATCAAGCATTACTAGACTTGTTCATCTAGAAATGGCCTATACGAGGGCTTATTTTTTTAAAAAAATTAATCACTCTTCCCATTTATTTTATTTTTAAAAAGAAAAACAACATATCGTCTAATATTTTTTAAATTTCAACCATTATGATAGCTGAAGAAACAAGATCTATATTTTTTTTGATATAAAAATCTATTTTCAACTTATTTTTAACTTAAAACATATAAAAAAGAATTTAAATACCTTTACAGCCTCATAAATCACCTTAAAAAAACCAAAAAAACCTTCCAAGAACTCATAACCAAAATCTTTTTATGTCTTTTGTCATTTTTTTTTAATGATTCTCTTTCTTTTCTTCAAAGCCCAATAACTAGAAGGTGAACCAAACTAAAGAGATAAAAAAAGATTTTTAAAAAATTATAAAGCTAAGCTATAAAAAGGCACCAACACCAATTTTTATTTTAAAAAAAAGACTCTCATTTTTTCTTTATTTCAATTTTGGCTTCCTCATTTTTATTTTCAAAAAATAAATTAGATTTAGTTTGACATCAAAATAACTACATACAGAGTAGATTGAAATCCACACATTCCAATCAATATAACATCAAAAGATAAAATTAAAAAAAAAAAATTTGATGACCAATGGCAAAAAAGAAGAAGACCAAAGTTGACACAATAGTTTTTTAAAAAACAAAATGGCCACTATTTTTTATTTGTTTTAATTTTGATTTTTAATTTTTTAAAATAATAATATCTAATTTTTTTTATGAAATCAAGCATCAATATGATGTTCGAGTTTTTTTGAGATCCTAGTAGCTATGAAAAAGTAAATCAAAATAAATTATCAACACCGTATCAAACCATGAAAATTAAAAATAAAGATTTTGATGATTATAAAAAAATTTCAAAATGAAAAAAAAGAAAAAAAATGTAATTCATAGTATTTTATGTTTGAGAAAACTTTGTTTTCCCACATCTTTTATGTTATTTTTAATTTTAATTTTAAATTTAAACTCTTTCAATTCTTCTATTTTCTATATCTTTTTTAAGATCTCCAATAAGGCTTGATATCTGTAAACTGTAAAGAACAAAATATGGCTACCAGTGATTTTTTTTTTTTCAGGTTCTTCATCAAGTGTATAGTTCATCAGTCAGTAATAAGAATAAAAATTTATAATAATAACTAAAAATAGAAATAGTTAATTTATGATTAAATTAGAAACAAAATGTTGTGATTGTTTTTTTTACCTTATGAAAGTTTTTTGACCCTTGTAAATGTTGTGATTGATTAAATTAGAAATAGTTAATTGTTTTTTTACCTTCGTAAATGAAAGTTTTAAAAGGCATAATACTTATAAGTAAATCAATAAAATTGAATTTTTTCAAGAGGCAATCAATCACAACTTGAGACTATCTTTGTACTAGAATTTTAATAAATTTTGAATTTTTTATTCTAAATTAATTTTTTATATTTCTAAATTATTTTGATGTCCTAAAATTAAAAATAAATTTTTTAAATTTAAAAAAAATATTTTAATACATTTCAAAATAAAAAATATTTTAAAAAATTATTTTTTTAATACTTCTACCGTGAATAATGTGCATCTACCGATTTACAAAATCATTGCTATGCTCAAAATGCAATCATAATTAAATCTCTTAAAATATGACTCAGTTTTCAAGTATTCAAATTCAAAATAAGTTATTTTAGATTTTTTTCGATTATCCTTGAAATTTAAATAAGAGATGGTAACAAGGGAATAACAACAAAAGCGGGACTCCACGGTAAAGACACTTATCTTCTTCTTCCTGTTTTTTTTTTTTTAAATACAAAATTAGAAAATAAAATAAATGCTTGAGCTTAATCTAAACCCAAGGAAAAATCCAACGGCCAAGATTGGGTTTAAGAAGAAGTGGGTGCCTCAGACTCAATGTCTTTCTCTATCTATATCAAGGAAGGCATGAAATAGAAGTGTGGGTGTCCTCTTGTGTCTTCAGAGTCATCGTCCTCTTTCACTTGTTCTTCCTTTTTCTGCTTGAGAGAGAATCGATCCAAGCCTAACTAAACCATCATGTCGGACGAGGAGCACCACTTTGAATCCAAGGCTGATGCAGGAGCCTCCAAGACTTACCCTCAGCAAGCTGGTACCATCCGCAAGAATGGTTACATAGTCATTAAGAACCGCCCTTGCAAGGTCTATCTCTGTTTTTTGTTTTTTTTTTTTGTTTCTTGTTACGGATTTCTATCTGTTTTTTTGTTGTTTTTACCAGATCTCTTGTGTGTTCTTTTTAATTTGATTATCGTTTTCTTTGTTTCTTGTTACGGATTTCCATCTGGTTTTTTGTTGATTTTACCAGATCTCGTGTGTTCTTTTTAATTTGATTATCGTTTTTTGTAAAGTTCAATTTTAAAGAAGTTATTTCTAGCAAATTTAATGTTTGGATGTATTGAGAATTAATTAAATCTGTGTGGGTATGTTACAAAAAAGTTGACTTTGATTTTGGTGTTGATGGCGTACCCTGAGATTTGTTATTTTCTAGGTGGGGTTTTATGTATCGAAAAGCTTTCAATTTTTCAAGCATGTCTGTTTGCTTTGTTATGTGTGTTTGTGCATTTTAATGGTAGATTTAAACGTTGATGTCTTTATGTGCTATTTGTGTCAAGATTTCGGATTGGGAACTATCGTATTTAAAGCTTAGAAATCTTTCCATGTCAAGATTTCAGACAGTGGGAATTATCGTATCAAAAGTTTAGAAAGTTTAGAGCTTTCACAGGGTGCACGTGTGTGATGCCTTCAAGTCCCCCTTGCTTTTGTGACTTTAGTACCTGAGACTCCTCGCAATGTAACAACCAAAAGAAAATAGACAGTTATCCCAAAGATGGCAGGAAGTAATTTTGCTCCATCTTGCCATGCCTTCTAATGAATTTGATAGGGTGCAGCCATTTGAGTGTCTTTTTTGTGTTTATGTACTACAGATTAGCTGGAAACATAGAGACTTTTTCATAAAAGTAATGATACTAGTATCTAAAAAATTATGGATGCAAGTAATCCAATTCCCTCATGGAAAAAAATAGTATAGGAGCTTTTGTACCTCAACATCGACAGAAACTTTGAGGCATGCAAGTATAATTTCAGCTTATTAAAGTAGGGTTTATTATTTCTGTTGCTTTCTCCATTTTTTCAGTTCTCATATTTGCAAAATCTCTAGAGACAATCCCCATATTTTTGGAGTTTGGTTGAAGAAAAACTTGCAGTATTCTATGTAACACTAGAAGATGAAATTCCTAAAAAACCTCATAAGCATGTATAAGTGCTTCGATGAGGTCTTCGGCTGAACCAGCACTGAAACAAGTGTTGATTGGAATTTTCATTGTTCCAGTAATCATAGCTGTTCTTCATCATGGCCAAACATGGATTAAATGTCATGCTGGACAGATGCAGGACATTGCAGCTCTGCAAAATTGTGCTGCATTAGTAGCTTGCACGTCTGCAAATTTCACTAGAAGTATCAATGTCAATAGTTGTGTATTGGAGGATTATTTAGATAGGTTATGGTGCTCTCTTTGGTTGGTTCAGATGGCAGCACGTATATAAGTAGCTATAAGGTGTTGTGTCCTGTTCATGCTAAAGCAAGCTTGCATGTGCACAGCTGTATTCAACTTTGAAGTTGTGGAGCAAAGTGCTCTGATGATGATTAGCTTCTATCAACCCCACTTTATTTTCACATTCTGCTTAACCTTGGTTTTCATAGAATATTTTACTTACTAAACCCCATCATAACTGAAACCATCACACACCTTAGCTAGAATAGAACAACCCAAAAACGGTAGGGCTATGGTGGGCTCAGTTTATAAGATGGCTTTTGTATCATATTATGAGAAACTTTCTTGAAAGAGGTGATACTGTATTGGAAGTTTTTGTATTTGGTATATTGTGATTCCTTAATGGTGTCAATGTTTCAATCTTCACAGTTCGTGTTTCCTTTTCATTTCTTAACATTTACATTTTGCGTTCTAAAAAAAAACAGGTTGTTGAGGTTTCCACCTCAAAGACAGGAAAGCATGGACATGCTAAGTGCCACTTTGTGGGGATTGATATATTTAATGGGAAAAAGCTTGAAGATATTGTTCCTTCATCTCACAACTGTGATGTAATACTCTTGTTAATCTTACATTTCATACATGCTTTTTTCTTCTTACACAAGTCCTTTTGGTCTCATTTTGATAAATTTCTGCTTTGACAGGTTCCCCATGTTAATCGTGTTGATTATCAATTGATTGATATCTCTGAAGATGGTTTTGTAAGTTTGTTTACCTTCCAATGTTTGTCTGGGTGAATTCTGTGTTTGTGCCTGATTACTAGACTGGCTTGGGGCAAGTTGGCAACCTTCAACTATAATCTCTTGCATGCATGTTTGCTATGAATAATTTTAAATTGATGGTTTCATCTACATGTATAAAAGACTTGGAATTTAAAATCTGATGTGTAGTGCTAAATTACATGAGTCCCTAGGGCGCTCTGGTGTATATTCAACTAAAATGGGAGCATAAACAGCAGAATTCAAAAGTCGAAGTATTAATATCAACCATTGTTTGGATGCATATTGAATAATACCATCCTTCAAGGAAGACTGTAGAGCCCTAGGCAGGAGAAAATGGCAAAAGCAAATGTTTCCAATTGAGCCAGTTGTCTCTCTTTTCAGTTTTGTTCTTTTAAACATAGCTACTTAACTAATTGATGTTTAACATCATGTAGGTGAGTCTTTTGACTGAAAATGGAAATACCAAGGATGATCTGAGGCTTCCCACTGATGACAATCTACTTACCCAGGTATTTTACATGCATTCTCTTTTCTGAAGCATGTTTGGTGCTTGGCTTGGTTGTACATTATTATTTATTGAGCTTTCTCTGTTCCTATAGGCTCTAGCTGGTTTTCTTCCCAAAAACTGAAATTTTGTGTTTGTTATTTCGTGTGTATAGATTAAAGATGGATTTGGCGAAGGGAAGGACCTTGTGGTGTCTGTCATGTCTGCCATGGGAGAGGAGCAGTTTGGTCTGGTCAGGTTTTTGTTTTCCAGGACCATCGACCAACTTGTGCATTTTTATTTGGTCATATAATCCTAGTGCGTGGTTGTGTCATCGTGTGGCGAAGTGCATGCAAATGATAAGCGCTCAAAATGGATTTGCAATGTAGGCCAGAGAATGGAGGATGTCAAAATTCCCCCGTAAGTTTATTGAACATCATTATGCAAACGATGTAAAATGCCTTGCAAGTTTCAATTATGGCCCTGATAGACCTTCTGGATGACAATGGATGGCCATGGCCTATGGCAATGAGGGTTGAAGAGTATGGTTGCGTAAGTTATGGTGAATCCCTAACATGATGTTTATTGTACAATGCTTCATTACCAAGCTTCTGTTTTTATGTCCAGGATTTTGGATAGAGCAATTTACCATCTTCATGTGTTAAACGCCTAATCCAACTTTTTAAATTGTTTTCCCTTGGGTGCAAAGAGTAAGTGTCCGTTCTTCAGGCTAACGATTTACACACAGTACTGTGTTTATTTTTCAACCATTTCTGTTCCCTGCAAATATTTGATGCCGGCCTTAGTTCTGTGACAACCACCCTAATAACTCCTCTAAACAGACAAGTAAAGCTTTTCTTTTATCACTGGCAATAATGTTATCAGATAGATATAAAGTTTACAAAAAGGTTGGCTACTCCAATCTAATATAATCTGTGAAGGAGGAAAATACCACTTTAGTAGCGTCAATTTATGTAAATCTTTCTTTAGAAATTTTATGTAATTATTCTACACATTTCTGAATGTGCCATACAACTTGCAAAGCAATAACATAGTGTACATGTAATGCAGAAACATAATCTAGGCTATATAGCAAGAACAAAAAATAAAAACCCTAAAGTAGCTCAACTAATCAAGTTTTAGGTTTGTTTTTTAAAGGTCATTAATTCAAGTCTTGTAAATTTCAAGTCTTGTAAATTTCAGGGTTATTAGACTTACATGATTGTCAACTTCAAAACTTGTAAGATTAGTCAAGATATGCAGAAGCTGACTGGAACACTTATATATATATATATATATAATGGGAGCTTACCAAGAAATTATGACAGGGAGTCTTCATTACTAGCTGAGGAATTTCCATATATGTAAGAAGTAAATCCCCAAAATGTGATTAATAAGGAAAGAATCTTGAAACCACTCATGGGATCTTGGAGCAAAATAACAGCAGCAATAGCTGTGATTGGTACCCTTATTGCATTTAGAACACCGGCCATCACAGTGGAAGCCAAATAGAGCACAGCAGTTCCTCCCAATACCCCCAGCTGAAAAGTAATGGCACCCCATACAAGAACCAGGATATACGAAGATTTACCTCCCTTGAATGATCTAGCCTCGGATGCCATCCCTTCAAAATCATTGTTTAAAATAACCCCAATGGCGGTAAATACAAAACCAAAGAAAGAAACCATGACCTGCTGCTCCAACACAACATGGAAGGATCTTCTTCCCATCAACTTAACGAAAACTAGCTCCGAGAGAGCAAAGATGAGGCCATGAAGAGCGGATCCCAAAATATCCCATATAAAACCCATGGTATATTGGTGATCAGTAACATAATCGTACCTGTCTGAATCCGAATCTAATGCAATTATTGCCATGGCAGCAGTAATTATGACAATAGCATTTACCATTGAAGCATTCAGTTTGTTGTGCACAATAAAATATCCACATAGAGCAGAAAACGCTAGGGATGATGAAGCCAGAAGAGCTGCAGTTGATGCTGGGAGGTATGCGTAGGCATATGCATACATGAGATTGTCCGCAGCACTTAAGAAACCCAGCACAATATAAGAAACAAGGAGTTTGAAGGTCAGAGGAGTGGGAGAACTATCAAGAAAGAAGTAAGAAGGAAACAAAATTAAAGCAGTTAAAGGCCACCCAGCAACTGCCACCCATGAAATAATCCACTTGCTTGCACCCCCATTCGAATAGTAGACCCGTGTGAGAAGGCTTGATGCAGGAAAAGCCACAAGCATGGCCACGATGCTCAAAGCCAGAAGAATCCAGTGCGAGATTGGCTTTCTTTTGTATCCTTCCATAGTAACGCGCTTCAAGTTGCGAATTTTGCCCCACAATGAATTTGAAGGTTTTGATGATCCCTCCTCCATAGTTGTTTCTGATAATAATCAAGGAACATGGGAAACATAATAAAAAACAAAGGCACTAGAATCAAATATATTCTTCGAAAAGGCTGTGCCTATGTACAAAATTCTGTTAGAAGTCAGTGAAATGTGTGCGTGCCATTGTGTGTATGAGTCTTCTAGGGGTTAAACACCATCTTTCTCTCCCAGTGCAGGCCAATTAGAAGCAGTTGCAGAAAGTATTCCAGTTCAGAAAAGCCAGCCCCGATGAATAAATCAATCTAGAGGAACAAGCTTAACAGAATCCATCCTCAATAATGCAGTAGTAAGACCTCTTGATAGTAAGACAATACTTGATCTCATAAATGATACAAGAGAATCTACCATTGAAAGACACTCCGTTATAAAAATAAAATCACAAATAGTCAAAGGAACTGTGCAAACATTGAGGAAGAGATCTCCACATTCACCAAAATGTGAGCGAGTAGAAGAGGTAATAAGTATGATGTTCTTAGAGCCTCAAAATCACCGGCACTAGTAGAAGAGGTAATAAGTATGTTCTTAGAGCCTCAAAATCACCGGCAGTAGCAAGGCAAGATTAATATGCATAAAACTGTGTAGTTATAAAACTAAATGCTAGGTAGTTTATGCCCAAGCATCAGTACAGCCCTGCCTTCCTTCCAAGACTAAATAACTCAAACAAATGAACAACGCCATCACGTGTTCTATTCATACTAAAAACAAATGCAAGGTTAAACCTCAAAACTGCTTAAGAGATCAGACTCTGCGGAATAACAAGAGACCATATCACATAAAAAGCCTCAGCTCACAGTGATAAAATCTTAGTAATTTTAAGAGCAGCCCATTCATATTCAGAGATCTTTAATAGAAACAGATATTCAAGATCAGCCATAATCTTCTTTAGCCAAAGATTAGCTTCAGAAGTTTTCTTTTAGCACTTCTCTTTAACCAAAATTCATTTTTTTGTTAATATATCAAGTATCATCAAGGGCTAATTTTACCACAGCCCAGAGAAAAAAGGTTGTTCATGAGAATTCTTGAGAGTTCACAACGTAGCAAAACACAGCCTTAAGATTCTCCATAGACTTTCCCTTTGTTTCTTAGAGGCCAGACAGAATCTCAAAGTTTTTACCGTTAAAGGGACAGCAATTCACAATCCAAAACTTCATAAAATTGCTTCCATGCCAAATCCAATTAACATAAACAATACAAGAAGCAAGAAAATGACACTAAGAAATATAAAGAACAGCCAAGAAAAGAAACAAGAAATCCAGATACTAATACGTAATTATGACGTTAAAAAATAGATAGAAAGTAAGAAGTAAACCTGGCTGGAGAAGTCGTACTTCTATCATGAAACAGAATGAGAGAGAGCTACAACGTGTGAAGGATGACTTAGTTGGGAGAGACCTTAAAACTACGACCAATCTTGTATTTCCCTTGACCATGAAAACCACGGTGGCAGTGCCATTTCCTGTTATTTTCTTTTTGAACTTTTTTAGGTTTTGTAAACCACCCCTCCCATTATTATTATTTTTTCCCCTTCCCTCATCTTTCCTGGCATCCATCCATTTATGTTGATATTTTAATTGATATTGATAATGAATTTTTTTTTTTAATAAAGAGAGTAATTGAGTCAATTGGTCCCACCAACTTCTAGACACATGTGAATCATGGTGTATTTTTGTTGGTACAATTTGATTTTTTTAATAATATATGGTAAAAATTTCTTTAATTAGGTCATGTTGAATTATTATATTTCACTCGTGAATAAGTTCATATTAATAAAATATATTTAAAAAATTAAAATTTATTTTTTATTCAACTTTCTTAAAATATTGTTACTAAAAATATTTAAACCCAGATAAATATATAAATCAAGTCCACACATAAAAATATAGACATACAAAAAACTAAACATGTAGATAACAAAATATTCATTTAGGGTCTTAAAATCGACATTCGGGGTTTAGAAAAGGATTATTTTAAATGGTTAAATTTTTTAGATAAATTTTGTCAAATTCATCTGTCTATACCTTAGTATACTACTTGGACTATATCTATAGTTAAGGAAGTAATTATGCTTATATTCCAATTGAGTTGGAAAGTAGATATACATACCTTTTCTAAGATACATGTTAGGTCTGCTAATTCATTTGAACAATAGAGAACAATGTATTTGAAAATAAAATTAAAATATATAAAAAATAAAGAAATATTGTTCCTAAGATACATGTTAGGCCTGCTAATTCATTTGAACAATAGAGAATGATGTATTTGAAAATAAAATTAAAATCTATCAAAAATATATAAAAAATAAAGAAATATTGTTTCGTTGTGTATTATAGATTCCAGTCGATACAAGGATTTCTTAATGCTATTGTAAACATGTGATGAAGCTATTGACTTATCTATTCTATAAGGATTTCATGTTAGATAAGGAGACATTTATGACAATAATTACTATCTATAGTTTGCAAGGATTCCATATCCATTATGGAATGTATATGGTAGCAAGGAGACTTGAGATTATTTTGTTGTTCTTTGTTTTATTTCATAGGACTTCCTAACACATCAAGGAGACTAAGATGATTCAATTTAAGAAAGAAAATCCCAACAATTAAAAACAAAGTATCCTAACTAGTTTGGAGCATAAAACTTTGATATAGCCTTCAAGAAAAATAAATGGGGAGTTTTGCTCCATTATGGAATGTATATGGTAGCAAGGAGACTTGAGATTATTTTGTTGTTCTTTGTTTTATTTCATAGGACTTCCTAACACATCAAGGAGACTAAGAAGATCCAATTTAAGAGAGAAAATCCCAACAATTAAAAATAAAGTATCCTAACTAATTTGGAGCATAAAACTTTGATATAGTCTTCAAGAAAAATAAATGGGGAGTTTTGCTCATGTATAGGGATTTCAAGTGAGAACACTTTGTTTTATAATATTTTTATTTTATTTTAGTGTTAAATATTATTAACTTTGGATTTTCTTTTAAAATGGGCTTGTTTCAACCCATTAGACATTATTTTATTGTTTATTTCAATATTAGACTTGTGTTAGTTGATTACTATGTAAGTCGCATTGGTTTGCAACCTAAAAGAAATCAATTAGGGAATTATATATCGCTTTTATAATTACAAGTCTTGGCATGTATGATGATGATTTGAATAAATAAGATTTTTTTTTTAATTTTGCGTGTTGCAAATAACCTTTATTTGGAGGGACATAAATCGATCGTGTGCTAACCCAAATAACCTTTATTTAGAGGGACATAAATCGATCGTGTGCTAACCTATCAAAGTTTAAATGGTTTTATGGTATCATTTATATACTTTAGGTTCTTGGGTATAAGGTTATCTCTGAGTTTAAATTTTTTTTCCAATACTTTTGGTTCTTATGTATAGAGTTACCTCTAGGTCGAGGTTTCAAACCTGATATTCAACTTTCTTGGGTTGATTTGCAATTTCATTGTAGGTTATGTGACTATATGATCATAAGGTTCGTATTAGAAAGGGATGGAGAATAGCAAGAGAAATTTTAGTGTTGTTGTTCCTTTTTTGTGGTTTATATATGATAAATTTGAATATTATTGATAAAGGTTAGTTTTGTGTAATGGATGATAATTGAATCTATTGTAGATGATTAGTTATTATAGGCTTGAAGTTTGGTGTTTGCTATTGAATGTGGTTAAGGTTAAATAAAATCGAAGAATTCTTAAATGAATTGTGACTATTATAAGCTCTCTCTCTTAGTGATTTATTTTTTTATTATCATATGTTGCTCTTGCCCTTGTAATTTGAGTTGAAAACAATGAAAAAACTTTTCATTATTGTTGTTATCTTTCATATGGTTTTTATATGTGTTGCTTTTTAATGGAGAAATAAGTTGGAAACTATCTTAATTAGGACTAATTTGTTGGATAATCAACTAAAAGTTACGGTTGAAATTTTAGGATTGAATGTCCATCTAATTAACTATAATCAAGGAGTGAA